TAGGGAGAAGAGAAGAAAGCATGTGATACTGGAAAATCTAGCTATGATCCCACCCCCAGGACTCATTATTTAGAAAAGCAATTGCAGCACTAAATTATGGACCACCAGAAACGCACATCCACATTCAATACAAGTGGAAAATGACTCAGGCTTTGTTTTTCTATCACAAAATGTTATTCAGTTGCAGTTTCTTTGCAACTTCACCAGAATAAGGCTATTTCTTCGTCAATTACAAACTCAGGATCAGATTTGTGTAAGTGCTATCTGTAGCCCAGGTAATTCAGCCAGGAGAGGAAGGCTCTGCTCCACCCTACTGATGTTCAAAGCAGGAACAGGACAGATAGAGAAAAAGGTGAAAAAAATGATGTTATGGGCAAAGTTCAGGCAGGCAAACACTACCCAAGCCGTTCAATGCTATGTCCTCCAGCTCTGCTGCTGCCTCTACTGGGCCGGCTACATTTGGAGTTTAGCACTGGGGCTGATGGCAGCTTAGCAGAAACCACAGGAAAGAGGTCACAGCATGCTAAAGCCAAGCAGAGAGAGGAACTACAGAAGTTTTCCTCCTGGTAACAGGGCAATCCAAGCAGATGCTCAGAAAGCAGCTCGAGGTGCAGATCAGAGGAGGCCTTCAGCCTTGGAGCACAGATGCTTTGGAGGACAGGGAGGCAACGAGCAAATGCAGTGTCAGGCAGGACTCCCCCCACACAAATAAATCACTGAACTCTTCAGAGAGCAGCAAATCTCCTTACCCCTCTGGATTAAAGGCAGACTTAAAGGAATGTTTGTTAACAGACTGCTCACTCCCTGGGTCATTCCCAATGCATGTTAGCTAACCACATTCAGCGGAGTTATGTCAGGGATGTCCTTGATTTAAAAAATAAATACATAAATAAAAAGTGTTTCTAAACAAATTGATACCTCTAAGGACAATCAAAAAGCTGACTAGACGTGGGACAACTCATTTCATTTCTATGGGGTTTGTTGACTGCCTGCAGTATCTTTTTGAAACATCTACTTGCCTTTTGCTATTCTGTAGATCAAGAATTGAAATTCAGGGTCTCAGGTCTTCCACGGGAGTAACAGGACAGATGTTTTGGGAGGCAATTTTCAGTCTGCTCACTACAGAAAGCTGATTCCCTATGGGATTCCCACTGAAATTTCAGGAAGCAATGATATTTTATGCCAGCATTGACTATGTTTTTGAAGATTTCATTTGCCTGCCTACATGCTTTGCATAATAATTATCACACTGAAAGAGGGGAAGCTAATAATAAAAATTAAATGCTAATTTACATTTCACTGCATAACACCACAGAGATAACTTATTTTTTAAATTACCTACTTAAAATATATGACATGGATGAGCAATATTGCAAAAATATCTATTACAAAAAAAGCTCAGTATGAGCAAAGATAGAAAAAGGGAAGGACCAGTGCTTGTTCCAGGGGGACAAGTCTGATGAACAGGCATGTAACACAGATGCTAAGGAGAAGAAAAAAAGAATACGGTGGGCTTCTTTGTCACTGTCTAAGGTGGTAAGAAATCCCTGTCCTCAGGAACCAAAGAAACAAGAGAAAGTCCCTGAAAATATATATATATATTTAGTGGACTTGGACTGCTTTAGTCCAGCACAGGAACCAGCTCTAACCCCAAAACACATTCTCCAGCTTGGATGAAACAGACATGAGGGAGCTCCAGTATCATCAGCACACTGACACGCTTTTACAACTAAAGAACATGAACACAGCAAACGCCGTCCCGAGCCAAGGCATCCAGGTGATCTGTTCTCCGAGCCAAAATTTCCTCCCAAAGACAGCAAGACATGCACTGGCCACAGAGCATAAATCCAGCAACTCCATCCCTGCTGTGCACAGCCCATGACACCAGTAAAGACTCAATAAAGGCAGCACAAAGTCTCTCCAGGGCTAAATCTCCATCTTCCAAGCCTACTGCAAACCTCTCTTTAACTTCAAGGAATAAAAAAAACTCAGAGCCCGGAGCTATCACTGCCAACAAACTAGTAAAACACGAATTAAACTGCTGCCCTTCGCATGTCACCAGCTGCTGGTGAGGACGCCAAGCCTGCCCCTGACATTCTTGCAAGTGCTCATTTGTACTGCACTGAGAGGCAAGCACTGCTCTGGTAGTTTCCTTAATACAGATTCTAACACAATGCTAAGTAATGGTATAAAAGTACTTCCTCCCCTGAATCCCTCTGAGCAAACAAACTTAAGAATATGTATAATAGTAATTTGACCTTCCTGTTTCTTTTTTTCCTTTATTTTCTCCATATAATTCAAATGCATTCCAAAAGGAAAACAGGTATTTTCAATATATACCACCAAGTGAATCTTGCAATTATCTTCAGACAGCCTGGTAACAGCTTGAGGGGGGGAGTGCTGGGAAAAAAAAAAAAAAGTCAAATTTGACAAAACCCAATTTTGTCCTTATTTCCTTCTTTTTCTTTGTGCATTATGTCTGTTGCATTGCTTCATCTTTGGATGACAACATAATTTTGGTAGCACTGTTTTCTTCTTAGCTACAGCGCAGTGAGCATTTTGACATCTTCTGGTTACAACCAAGCCCCATTTTGGAAGTGCAGAGGGATGTTTCTGGGAGCAGCCTAGTAGCACTTCCACAAGCTCTTCTCTTCCCTTAAGGCAGCAGTACCCCCCTTGAGCTCTGCTCCATGCAAGTCAGTTACTGCAGCCAGGACTGCACTGGGAGGGGATGAGATAAAAAAAAGAAAAACAAACAGAGCAAAAGGCTAATCTCTTTTCACAGAGATAACAGTAGGAACAACGAAGGACAGTAACTTTTTTATGCCTTCCAATTAACCAAACTGCTCAAAGCTCAGAAGAGGTATTTGAAAGTGAGCCTGGCACATCCTCCTTTCACTATCACCAGAGCTGGCTACCTTGTCTCCAAACACTCCCCCCCGAACTGCAGGTTTCAGCTACAGGGTCTCCCCTGGCCTTCCCCTTCCAGCATCCTCATTTTCCTTCCCCGGCAGTCCCGGGCAGAGGCTGCCGGTAGCGGTGGATGCGCAGACCTGGGAGCCGGAGAGCCTCCCTGCCGCTCCGTCACCAACCTGCAATTACAGCTGCTTGCTGAAAGCCACAGCACCTCACGTAAGCTAAAAATAGCAGCACTTACTTGCTTTGGTAAAGAACTGCTTTTTAAGGGACTATTATAGTAGCGGAACAATCAGAGCTTACTTTTAAACGTTTCAACTTATAGTTCCTAGGGAATTCGCTCAGCAGCATATTCAATTCCTTAATAATCTGAGGAGAACAATCCAATCTGAAATTCTTTAAAACTCCCTTCCTATTTCAGCGTCCCCGATGATGCAGCAACTCATATCAACCTTTTAAATAAAGCTAGCAATTGCTCATTAGCAACACACAGCCTTCTCTGTAGTGTTTGCGGCAGCTTTGCTGGGAATTCACGGATGCCCAAAGAGACGGTATGGCAAAAGAGCTGGTAGCTTGGAAGAGCTCCTTTGGTGGGACTTCAGCAAGCTGCCAGGTAGGAGTGATGTGAACGGCACAGTCAGGACTTGGAGACGGCAGCCGGGAGACATCAAATACTCGGCCCTGCTCCCAGCATCACCAAAGCAGCAATGTGTGCTGGTACAGGAGTCAAGTGCAAGGACGTGCCTTGCCTCCGCAGCCGCTGCCCTTGCCAGCGGGACGAGGAGCTGCATCCAAACGAGCGCTGCCCTTCGCCTGCAGACAGTGCTTGAGGTGCACCCACGTCGCTTGCGCTCAGGGCTACCACCGGTCCCAGCTGGGCACCCTCCGAAGCAAACAGCATGGCACTGATCACAGCAAGGAGCTGCTGGGGAAGCCCGCTTTTAGGATTATTTCCATCAGTTCAGAGCTCGCGTCCCTCACGCCTTCCCCCAAGCTGGGGGCACTTTGTGAAGAAGCAGCCGGCCACCCGTGTGACTTACATCTTGCCTGGTGCACACGGATTTGCCCGCAGACCCCATCCCAGCCCTTGTGGCGTGCAGGCAGCACCCACACGGGCCGAGCTCCCTGCCAACAGCCCCTCCGCTCCCCAGCCCCGGCAGGGCTCCGGCCTCACCCCCTCCTCCTTGGGGGGCACCAACGCCTTTAGGGGGGAACAGGGCACCGCGGATGCCCCCCCACTGCCCCCAAACCGGCTCCCCTTGCCCTTGGGCTCCGTGCAGGCCTGGAGGGGGGGAGGAGAGGGGGTGCTGAGGGCAGGGCAGGGCGGAGCAGGGCGCTGCCGGCCGCCCCCCACCTGCCCGCCGGCGCCGTACTCACTCGGCGTAGCCCGTGGTCCAGGGCAGGCGGCGGGTGTCCTTGCTGAGGATGAGGATGGGCCGGGCGATGTGGTCGGCGGAGCACTCCACCTCGTCCGGGGACAGCCCCAGGAACTCGGGTCTGCCGTAGGGGAAGCGCAAGGGCAGCTCGGAGCCGCCGCCGCCGCCGCCTCCCCCGCCGTGCTCGCCGCCCGCGCTGCCAGCCATGATGCCGCCCATGAAATTGGCCACGGCGGACTTGACCCGGGTGAGCATAGTACCCCGGGAGCCCCCCCCCGCCACGGGGGAGCCCCCGCCGCAACCCCGCACCGGGGAGGGGGGGCTCCGGGCCGAGCCGCGCCGCGGAGCCGAGCCGCGCCGAGCCGCGCCGAGCCGAGCCGGGTGCCGCAGGCTCAGGGGCGGCGGGGCGGCGGGCTCATGGCAGCGGCAGGTTTCCCCCTCCCGGCTGGACTCAGCCCGGTGGCGGCGGCTGCTGAGTCATGTGATGGCGAGGCTGGGTTCGCCACGGCGCTTCCTGCTCCTCCTGCGGCACCGCCGGAGCTCCCGGCCGGCCCCCGGCCCCCGGCAGGTGCGCGGCGGGCGGGGCCGGGCCGAGCGGGGCCGCCCACGCCGGGGCCGCCCCCGGGCAGAGCCACCTGGGGGCCGCGGGGCCCCGCTCCCCCCCGCTAACCCCGAGGGGTCGCTCCGGGCCCGGGAGCCGCGGTGGGTGCAGCGGGAGGATGCCGGGGCCGAGGGGCGAGCCCGGGTGCCCGCAGGGTGGGGGACGGGGAAGTTTTGTCTGCTGGCCCGCAGCCAAGGCGGTGGAGGGGGCACAGGGCTGGGGGTGCCGGGCTGTAAGTCACCAGGAGGCAGCGACCCGTGGGGCGGAATCCAGTTAATCGGGACAATTCCCACCCCAGGTTAAACACTGAAGCAGGTATACACCCGGATTTCGGAGGAAGTGGTTATTTTTCACATCTCTTATTTAACCTGGATTGGTAGAGGTATTTTGGGGAACAGTAAACCTCTCCTAGGTTTATCAACTACTTGATATTAATAACTAACCGCTTGATAACAACGTAAGGACACCTTGTAACTCTGCCATTCATGCATTTCTGTTTGTTTTGCTTTGTTTCCTGGTTATGTTGCAGAGGTCATAACTTTAAAGAAAATAAAAAAGAAAAAAAAAAGAAAAGAAAAAAGAGAGAAATAAAAGGATTGTTAAATATATATATATATATATTTTTTTTTTTTTTTCCAGGGGTCCTTTGTCTGAGTGCTGTAACAGGCAGCAGTTCATCCAATCCACACGTGACAGAGGAAGGCAAGTCTGAGGTGACCAGGGCTGACCCCAAACCCCTGGTTACTCTATTCAGTGGTCCGTACGGTATTTGATTTGCCCAGTTCAGTTCACTGCTGGCCCCATCCACCTGAGGATAATCCCTCTCCTCTCCTTTTTCAGCTAGATGGCCAATGTTCTTCCTCGAGCAGCAATCCAGTGCCACTTGCCTCACTACTGCCATAACAGCCTGCTGTCTGAGGAAGACAGGAGTGAGAAGAGGGACATGAGCAGAACTTGACATGTATCCTGAAGAGGCTCATTTTTTCTGTGTAAAAGTCGAGCTCCTCACAGGTTATCACATACACTCTTGGAGAGGCTGTGCCAGCTGACTGAATTTTGCAGTATATCTGACACACGGCTTCAAAAAATACCATTGACAAGAACTCAGAGAGGATGAGTGTTTGTCCTCCTGCCCCACTTGTGGTCACCATTCTGCACAAAACGTGAGGGAGAAATGTAAGAGAGTATGTATAGACTTGTTAGAATTTAAATGATCGTCTCTGCAAGATGAGAAGGAAAAGCTCAGATCAGACATATGGGGAGACAGCTTAACAGCTCGCCATTCAGAACAAATCTGTGCGCTATTTGAAATTCTGGGGTTGTTTGCCTCTGACACAAGAACGCTATGCAGATAAAACAGCTATGATGTGACCTTTCCATAATGAAATGTATAGAGATGCTTTGATTTCAGTTCTCTTTGAGGAAAGAGGATCGTGTTGTTCACTTCTGAGTCAAAGGTGAAGCCCCACTTCTCAAAGGAAGTCAGGCCTGGCAGATCTGAGCAAGTTCTTCAAATCGCTCAGCCTGAGGTCCATCAGGTCCAAGCCAGACATCTTTTGTGGTGGGCAGACCTTGAAATGTCTGGGTATTCAATTCACATCAAATTTTCAGGCTAAATTCTCAATGTCACTATTTGAAAACTGACTCTCTCTTTCTGCTATCCCATGACTAATGCAAAGAAAAGATGACAGGTTTGATTTTTTTTTTTTAATACAAACGTATTTGTGAAATTGAGATAAATATAATTTTCTCTCTGAATGGCTAACCACGTCATGGAGCTAGAGACACATTCACACGCAGCACTTTGAGGGATCTGCACTGTATTATGTCACCTTGCCATGCATTATAATCAACATTTGACAAATTCAACAGCATTTTACTCACGATGAAAAAAAAAATATTATGCAGAGAATGCTCAAGATCTTTACAGAATAATAGAATAATTCTGATTGGAAAGGGCTTCTAATGATCATGTGCTCCAACTTCTTTGTCAAAGAAGGGCCAACTTTAAAATTATATCCCATTGTCCAGAATCTTGTCCAGTTGAGTTTTCTGTGTAACCAAGGTTGCAGATACCACGGCTTTTCTGGGCACTTTTTAAAGAACTGTAACAAAGTTCACTTTAAAAAATTGAAAAGTTTGCAGGATCCATGTGGCTCCGAGGACTTTGGCTCTGTCTTTTGGGTATATGGGATGCTTGAGCAGAGGGCATATTGTGTGGAGTGGTTGGACCAGTGAATGTGCTTTGAGTCAACATGTTTCCACATTTTCTGATGAAAATAAATGTCTGGGACAGGCCCTTCTTTGTTTCTATTACAGAATATGCAACTCCTGTCTCATAAAAGGCACCAGACTATGCAAGCCATTGGATATATTCGTGTTTCCTAAAGGATTATGGAATTTATTTTATAATTTATTAATTAATAAAAATATATATTTATTTCAGTGTGATTCTTGTACTTGCCTGTACATTGTTTATACCTCACCTTGCTTGCCTGTTTTAGTCTTCGTTTGCTGTGCTTTTTATACTCTGAGTGAAAGCAATGGGAAAACTCACAAGAACTCCCAAAGCAGTAGGTCTAATGTGGGGTGAAAGGAGCATTTCTGCTGGCATGAACTTCTGCACTGTTTTTAGTACTGAGTATGTACAGAATATCGACAGGTGTGAACTCTGTTACTGGCTTAATTCTGAGAGTATGTCAGAATAGGTATCTGGCATTATGGTGATGAAACTATCAGCAGGGTTAAAAAATAAATAAAGGAAGAATTGTTTGTTTTTCTCAGTTAATCCCCCAAAAGAAAAGCACTTGGAGCCTTATTGTTGCACATGACTCTGCTTAGGAAGATCACCACATCATGTGGTGATCAATGAACTTATTCTTACCTTTTCAGAAGTACAGTACAATCTTTAATAGGCATGAGGAAGCTCTTCATCTCTGAAGAAAGGCCCTTCAGAGGCACAGTGCCTGAAGCATCACAGAGATGTGGAGGGGAAAATGCCTCTTGTTAAGACATCAGTGCTACTCCCTGCAGTGCCCGATCTCCCCTGCATGCCCTTAGCTACCCCCAGTGTTTCTAGGCTCATCAGAGCTGACAAGATCAAAGCCACTGGTGCTCTTGCCAGTTTGCAAGCAAGAGCACCAAGTATATTAAAAAATAAACAGCGATACTCGCAGTGATGTATTTCCTCTGTTGTATCTGATTTCTACTTCATTCCTGAGTAAGTATTTATTTCACGCATGGTATTTCCTTATGAGAGATTTCCAAGGCTGAAGTTCAAAGGGAGCATCTCCTGCAGAACATGGGCAGTGCCACGATCCCAAGGCTTGGGGACCCAATCCTGTCCCCACAGAGCATGATTCGAGTGGTCTCACTGAAGGCTGCAGGCTACCCAAAGAGACCAAATAGATGATCCTTATGGGTCCCTACCAATTCAGGATATTCTATGAAATCCACAAAATGGCACCAGGGCCAAAACACCCAAATATCTTATTCCGGAGCACAAACTTTAGGGCAAACTCTTCATTTTGCATCACTGCCCTAACCATGACATGACCAGAACCGCTGAGTACGGTTTGCCAGGCTGCAGCAGCTGTAGCCAGACTCACCAGTGTGGCTTGGGGGGTGAAAGGAATGAGAAAACATCCAAGGTTTCCTTTAGACTAGGGAGAAACTAGGGATAAAACTTGTATTCATGAGTTTCATGCTGACAAGCAACAGGGGCCAGGGGCCCTAACGCACAGAAATCGTAGCCAGGCAATGAGGACTTCTGTCACAGCTCTGCCCTTACTCAAAGATATGCTGAACAGTTGCATGGGGAAAACACTCAGGCCAGAAAAGTGGCTTCATGTTTCTTCTCACGATGGAGCACGAATAAATGCACAATTCTGAGCTGTGTGAAAGTAGCCCTGGTTTAGGTACCCAGGCAGGAAAAAGGCCCTAAAGAGGGGTCTTAGGTGACAGGCAGTCACAGTAAAAAATGTCCCAAGATCTTATACTGGCTTGCAATCTGCGTAAATATAAATAAATACCTCAATGTAAGCTGCCCATAAGCCCACAAATTTTCATATTTGCCAAAAACTACAGGATGACTTTTTCTGCGAGAATCTCTATGCAAGTATCCTGAAGAAATAACCATCTAATTTCACTACAAACATCATCAACAACATTTTGCTTCTACAACCTCTTCTTAGTTTCCATTATCTGCTCCTTTTTAATGCCTGCAGCTCCATCTGCTAATAACGGGCTGCGCTGGGGATTAGCTTGTTTATGTGCTCCCGTTGGCAGCTTTACGTGGGGGAGGTGGAGCAAAATGATTATAACCTCCTTGTGCTCCTTTGCCCTGATCCCTGCGAAAGAACAGCTTGCCCAGATGATGCCATGAGATGCTTCACAGTGTCAGCTATAGCTGGTAAGGAGGTCTTGACTCATGCCCAAGTTAAGCATGGGTTAAACGCTCAGGGAAGTGTTTTGTGTTTGCAGAGTGGTGGGGAATGTTTGTGTAACCTGCCAGCTGCTTTCACTGGCTCCTTACCTGGGGTGTTTGAAGAGTAAACGGGATGGGCAGGGGCTGCCTAGATGCCTGTGGGGCAGGAGCAGGTGGCAGGGGCATGGGGTACAGGAGAGCCAACCCTCACCATCACACCCTGCTTTGACTTTGCTTCTTTATTTTCCCTTTTTTTTTTTTTTAATTTTATTTTCTTGACTTTTTTTTTTTCTTTTAATACAAATTAAGTGAATGGTTCTGGCAAACCTTCAAGGTTTTAATGTCAGTCTGGGCACACAAAATCAAAGGTAAAGCTCTTACGTGGCACTTGCTCTCAGGCAACATTGCCAAGGGAGGAAGTGGGATTTTTGAACAAGTTGTCAAAACCCTGAGCTCCTAGACTTGAGGCTGAAGGCTTACCAGATGTTTTGTGCTGTCAGAAATCACAGTCCCGGTTATTATGAATCATGGCAGAGAAAAAAATTACTCTACTTTTGCATTCAGTTCTTGGATTTCTGTTCATCTTCTGTAAGCAGGAGTATGGAAACTATTTTTCCCCATTTTTTTCCTTCTTATTTTTTTCTTTTTTTCCCTTTTTTCTTTTCTTTCCAGCACTGCTCTTGAGGTGCGTGTGGCCCTGCATGGTCAGCCTGGCTGCCTGGTTTCCCAAATACGTGGCATATGTGGCATTCTGATATTAACGTGTTATCATTCAGATTGCTATGGGTAATACCCAGAATCCTGTCAATACCTGAAGAAACAAGTGCAAACAAGGCAAAAACAAGCATTTAGAATTTCCTGACACTTCCAAAAGTCTTGAAAAGTTGTAAAAGTGTGTATATAAATATTTATTAAGTTGTGTTGGAGAAAAAAAAAAAAGTGAAAGTTCAAGTCTTCAGAGCTCTCCAGTTTCAGCTGTGTAATAAGATGCTATAAATGTTGTCCTTTCTTCTGCAGCATCAAAGGCCCCTTGTTATAGGATCTGCTGCTTTGTCTGCAAAGACCTGTGTAGTGGGGGCTCTAATCCATTTTTAAGTTGTGCAAGCACATTTCTATTTTTCCCCCCACCATTTTTTTTTATAGCTTGACCATTCCCTTTTATTAATGCTGTTAACAAGATTGTTTAAATGGATTCTTTGTTGTCTTGTTTTATGTGTGGGGTGGGGTTTTTTTGGCTCGATTTGTACTTTTTTATTTCTTCCTTTTTTATTGACTAGAAGCTATGGCTTTTGACAGTCTTTTGTAGAGGAGATTTAAAAATAATAATAGAAAATTATTTTTATTTTTCACGTCTTCCTATAATAGATTGTCCAAGGCACAGAAATTTCACCTGGGTTGCACTACGAGCATAATGCAATGTAAAGGCTGCTCCAAAATCATACAAGCCATTACTTTCTCAGATGTCCTCAACAAAGAAAAAAAAACAAACAAACAAACAAAAAGAATAAACTGGAGGCCAAAAATCAGACTGAAAATGTTGTGCTGGGGAGAAGTTGGTCCAGCACCAGGCCAGCTAATTAGGGAAAAGTGCAAACAGGATTATGTGAATATCGCTGCTTCCGCAGCAGACACAGCAGCAGGAAAGGTCCCCAACAAACATGTAGCCACAACAATAGGCAATCTGCACGGCCTGCTGGTTGCTCCAGCTGAGCTACAAATCTAATTAACCTCTGACTTCTCTGGGTCATGGCCTTTCAACTACTGTGCGGAACAACCTAGGAAACGTGATAGAAAAGTTGCTTTATATCAGATTTCAGGCAATAAAGAAAGCCTCACAATCTCCCATTAAAGAGCTGACATAAATTTGCTGACTTTCTGGAAATATCATTATTTGTGATAAACATCTGTGTTTACAATTTTTATTAATATAGGGTGTTTAAAAAAAAACACAACAGTTTCTATGGAGTTGTAGCCCCTTTGGAAAGTGACTCATGCACCTCAAATGCATTTAAGTAATGTAAGTAAATAATTAGCATGCCATAACCTACTGCAGGTCACTGCCAATTGTTCGTCAGCTTAGCCACTGACAATTATTTTCACCATGGTGCAGAGGGGTTCCCTTCATCCCGTGTCCAAAGCTTGCCACCAGCATAGGTAAAGCCCATTTCAGTCTCCCTGAAGGTGGAAGTAAAATAACCCTGCAGCTGCTCACTGCCTTCCCCAGCCAGGGATGGCATGGGGCTGACAGCAAAGGTAGTGGGGCAGCTTTGGGGGATGCTCAGCCCCCTCCCAGCACCTCCAGCCCTCAGACAACCTGTGCCAAAACCCAGGAGTCACTGGGCACTCACTTGTTCCCTGCACTTTGTACCTGCGGTTTGCAATCCCGAACCACAAAGGGGTTTCCTCCACAGATTTCAGGATAGCACAGGCTGAGATGTCTCCGTATGCACTTGGACTTGGTGAGCCACAGGAATCTACAGCCCCATAAAAAGACTCATGGTTAAGAAAAATCTGGAAAAGTACTGTCTGTATTTCCACATTATTTACTATTAAGAGATTTAGGGGTGTGTGGGGAACAACATATGATAAATTGCAAGATACAGAAATAAGCCTGCTGTAGGAAGCCCCAGTACCTGAGCCCCTGTAGGCATCTGTGATAGATGCAGGTCTGATAATCAAGGTCAAAAAGTTCCTTGGCACGATAGCGAGGAGAGAAACCACAGCTTGAGGGGAGACTGAAGAAAAGTGTTGACACCACAAAGGCAGCGACAATGCTCCATTAAACCTGATGAAGCTTGAAATCCAAAGCTGGTAGGAAAGGCTTGTATAAACTGCATAGGAAGCGCTTAAAAATGCTGATAAGTAGGTATCTTTCTGACCCTGTTGGCAGCTGCATTGATACACATTTACAGGGACAAAGTTCCTGTAGAGAAGTTTCTCAGGAGCATTTGATGTGCCAGTGCATTCAGGCAAAAATGGGCAAAAACCTCCCTGAAGCTCAAGCAAACACGGTTAAAGAAAACACCACAAGCACAGAACTGCTCCGCTCCCTGCTTTGTTTTCACTTGCTCCTCATGGGGGATTTTGTGACAGGGGATTATATAGCTCCCATGTGCAATTATCTTTTTATTCTAGATGCCCTAAAGACATTCAGTGACTGTTTACATGACTTTTTTTTTTTTTTTTTTTTTAACAAAGGATTGAAGCTGGTCTTTGGCTCTAAAGTATGCCCAGGCTGCCACCCCTCTTCTGAGCACATTGACATGCCCCAGGTTCCTCATGTGGTTCTTCTGGTCCTCCTCCCTGAGCACAAACTTGAAAACAACCAGAAATCCTCATCGGGACCGACACAGGGTATGGTGCCCCTGTGGGGTCTCCACCCTTTCTGAGAAAGGAATGAGGTGCTCAAGACCAGGTGAGAAGTGCTTGTGGGGATACCCCACAGGGAAAAATGGTTGACATTTTTAGGATGGGGCAGTGAAGGGTTTGAAGTGAGGCAGGAATAAAAGAGGAGTCTGGGCGAGGTGGAAAAAGGCATCCAGGAAGTGTAATGATGTATTAATTCGGTGATATGGATTATGATAGTTGCAGATTGTCGTCATAGTAATTCCATTGTTAGTTCCATAATAATATTTCAGCAAAGACTCCAGTTCTTGATGAAAATAAAGTTTGGAAACTGTTGATTTAATGAATAACAAGAAATTTGGTAAATCACAGTAAAAGCTGTTGTCTGTAATTTTGTAGCCACATATTAAAAATTGCTATTGACACCTCACGGCAGGGAATTCGTAACATTTCAAGTTACCTTGATTTTGTTATTCTGCACAGCACAGCCATGGGAGCTCACGGAAACCCTGGAGGTAGAACTTGTTTCCAATTACTCCTGAAGCTGCCAAGGAAAGCAAACCTCACTTTTAGAAAGTTCTGCCCCTTGGCTTCTGCTGCAATGACCATTTGGCTTCAGTAACATCTGTGTGTCCTCAGCAGCTCCGAGAAACAGTGTGTTTCTGTCAGGTACCCAAAGAGGTGTTGAAGAGCTGGAGTTAAGTACTTGGTCTTGACAATCTGATGAAATGGGATTTTTCATAAAAAGTCCTAGTGGTTGTATTTCATCAAAAATAGGGGCAGATACTGCTGCCTTCAATACTTGCCTTTTCCTGTTTGTATACTAACACACACGTCATCAGCTGTGTCTTGAAACACTGATTTGGAAAAATAAATTTAGTTTATTGTATTAACAAGGCTGCAAGGATGCGTAAACCCAACTACATTTTATATGACAGTTTGCCAGAGTTGCTCACCCATATCTAATTACCAATGTGGCAACAAAGGTGAGATTAGGGCATAATCGTGTCTTCTGCTTGGTGACTTTCACTATAGCAAAGAGAGCAGTAAAGGAGTGTCATGGTGCATGTAGTTTTAGTTTTGATAGCTTGGGTAATATTAATGGTCACCATAAAATGAAATAACACAGGTGTCGGCATGACAGAGGTACTGGGGGAAAAATCCAACGTCCTTGATAATCTCCTCACAGCCTGTGCTGAAACACTGGCCACTGTGCTCCCCAGTGAAATCAGAGCACTCAGCTGGGGTCATCCTGATGAAAGCCTGCTGCCCAGATGCAAGCTAGCACCGGCCCTCTGTAACAGAGGACACCAGGTCCCAGCAGCTGGTGCTCCTCAGGCTTGTAGACAGTTGTATTTTGTAGAAATACAACGTTCAACACATCCTTATATGAATCTTGTGTGTTCTTCCTCTTCGGTATCTTCCAAACAAGTTCTGTGTGTCTCTGCTTATCATTTCCAGCTGGTCATTAACAGGGTAGTTGCACATCTTGTATAATTTAAAGTGCATATCAACTCAGAATGCTTGTAATAAAATATAGATTAATTCCTTAACAACAACAACAAAATCTATGCAGAAAACTGTTGCCTTTACAGCAGAGTGGAACTTCATGTGAGAAGCTCCTTCAGGGCAGTAAAATGATCTTTTGATATTTTTTCATGTAAATCTCTGCAGACTTTTTTTTTTTCCTTTTCCTTTTGTAGAAAGAAAATAAAAATTTTAAAATAGCCAGAAGGCAAAATATTAACACATTTTACATTTGAACAAGTTCTTCTGATTCCTTTCATAAATACCATCAGTGCCAAAAGGGAATTCTGCACTTACATTCTGAAGCATCAGTGTGATCATATGATTCACACTAAAATTCAATCTGAATAGCAGCGTTTTATTGTGGTATTACAAAAAAAAAAAAAAAAAAAAAAAAAAAAAAAAAAAAAAAAAAAGCTGCCCCAAGGCTGGCAGCTTCTTCTTTGCAGTATGGAGAAAGAATTTTCTCTGTAGGACATGGTATAAAGCTGTATTATAAATGTGTTCAGGTACCTGCACACACAGTTGATGTAAGACACCTTATGCTTTTGTCAGAGGTGTGTGACACTGTAACAGGCACAGATTTAAGTGGGAGAAGCAAATTTCCATTCAGGACAGTATGACTGAGTCTATCCTGGTCTGAAAGAGCAATGTTTGTGTGCATGTATCCTGCCGGTGCCCTTCACCTACTCCTGTGCAGGGGGTGACAGGGCTGTGCCCAAGCAGTGCCCTCCTCCCTGCAAGTACCAAAACAATGCCATGCATGCAGAGCACATGGGCTGCAGCACTGAGCAATGCTCTGTTTTCCCTGGCAGACTTTATTCTCTGCTGTCCTGCAAGGTGCATGTGCTTGGGCCCTTCAATACCAAAGGCCACCTGCTTGCAAGCAACCAGACCAGTCCAGGCACTATCCTTGTGTATACATCATCGTGCAGACAGCTTGCTCTTGTGTAACGGGCCCAATTCTCCTCCAATTTGATGTGTTTTGCATCTGGCAATGCAAGGGGATTGATGCATAGGTGCACAAGCACAGAGCAGGTCCATGTCAGGCACATTTCTGTTTTTCCCCAGCATCGTTGCCAGTGAGGCAGCATAGTTTGCAGAGGAAGGTACTAGAAATGTAAAGTATCACAAAGATCACAGCTACTGCGCTGTGGAATAGTTTGGGTCCACTTACAGCTCCTTGTAGTCCCAATCCACCTTCTTCCTTTGTGATTCAAGGTTACAAGTAGAACAGCATCCCCTGTAGCAGAAAGGAGATGACTCTGCTGTAATTACAAAGGGGACTTTTGAGATCAAAAGATGTAAACAGCTTCTCATAAGTGTGCTATCCTGCTAATTCCCCAGCCAACTGAATGCTAAGCTGTGCCCTGCTGGGATGCAAAAAAAACTTGAAAGGCAAAGAGCAGAGGTCAGAGTGATGTCTCTTTGGGCACTGGCTGAGATACTGGCGTACAGTGAGCTCATGAAGTAGCCCAAGGCTCAGTGCAAGCATCATTCATACAGCTGCAGGGACCCAGGAGCATGCATCACACCAGCCTTGGGGACGAATCCAGCTTCCAACACTTTGCAAGGTGGCAGCCCATGCAAAAGGGAGAACCTCCGGCAAGAACAGGGCAACGGAGCTGCTGGTTTCCATCCTGGTTTCCATCCCACAGAGCAGGGCTGTGGCCCTGCTACCTGCAAGGCTTGCCTCAGGTGCTCACGTGTGGGCACGCCACTGCCAATTTTATGAGATGCTTGCATCGATATGCACCCTCAGACCTAACTATTCTAAAATTGTGTCCCAGCCCTTCACTGAGGCTTTACAGAGCATTGTTAACTCCATATGTGTCTTTTGGCTCCCTGCTTTTTATTTCTGTGTTTTATCTGCTGGCACCCTCCGAGTGTTAAAAGTTGCATTTAACCTTGTCAAAGGAGGACTGCTTCTATTTTAAATTGAAGCATTTTGTGCAGAAGTCATATTTTGCTTGCAGCATTTCCTTATGGCTAAATATTTCTGTTGGAATTCCCAAATGACAATGTAAAAACACTCCAACGAGCTGAGGAAGAGCAACTTCTGCTCTGGAAGGGAGTCTGATGATATCCTTGATACCTTTAATTGAAACTATTTTATGTCCAAGACAAATGAAGGGTTAACAGCAACATGCATATTCATGACAGATTTAGCCTTTTATTTTATTTTTTTACAACATTTTTCTGAGCATATCATGATTCCCTCAAATTTCTATGGTTAAATCTCTTGGGCTGTTTTATTGTACAAATTGCCATATTCCATAGAGTGAGTGACAAGATTCCCCAGGCTGAAGCATCACCTCCTCACCCTGGGGCTTAGCTGTCATTGCAGAGGCAAGTTGCACATTGCAGCTACTTTGCCTGGGCAAGCGTGTACTTCACCTGCTTGGGTTTATTTAATTTATTCCTTGAATATGTCAGTGTGCAGCTCTAAGATCTGCTTTCTCCTGGAACTGACTGGGCATTCTCAAAAGAAAAAGTTAAACTTGCAAACTTCTTGCACTGAGAGAGCTGAAGTAGAATAGATTGTTTTGGATTTGTTTAATCTGAACTACAAGCTCATTGCTTTGGGACCTTGGAATAAATTCCTTTGTTATCATGCAGGAGGGCATCTCTTCTGCAGAGTCCCATAACAAATCTTGGCTGTTACGTGACCACATACTCAGAAAACACCTTTGCTTTTCTCAACTGCAATTCTTTGGGTGTTTTCTTCCCATAAAATTGGCTTTAATTTGATTTGAGACAAAATATGAAAATATCCAAATTCTCCCCAAATAAAAATCCTGCTTGCTTAGCTCTTCTTCCTGCAGAGATCTGTACAATAAAGCTTTAAGTAAAATTAGTAGAAAGAGAAATAGCAGAGGGAGAAGCATGACTAAGCAGATTGAAGAGAACATCACTGTCTACCTACAGTATTTTTCAACCTTTGTCCTAAATCTGTTTTAATGCCTATGGGGAACTGCTCTATTCGTACAGAAGGACAATAGAAGTGGCCTGAAGTGATTTTTGCCCTAAAGAACCAACCTTTGAATGTAGCCTGGCTAGGTAAAACCTGGCCATCAGCTTTCAGTGACTATTAGGAAAACAACCAACCAAACAAACAAACAAACATATTTTCTCATTGTCTTGAAGCTCTTCAAATATATTCTTCTTGGTCTTCACGTTATATTAGAAAATGCTACTGTCAAATGAACTTTTCAAATCAAAATGGAACTTTTTTCATTTTTAACAGTAAAAACTAATAAAAGATATTGTCTCTGCCTAAACACAGTGGTGACAAAAGACACCAGCAATATACCTGACACAAACTAATCTCTATCCCTTTGAAATAAATGGCTACCTAATGGAATAGCTGCTCTTTTATAGGTCTTCCTTTTGAATAGAGATACTGAATGAATCCTCATTATCTATTCCTTCCATACTTATTCAAAGAGTGAAAATATATGACAGGTGGACACAATACATGGAAGATGTATTACTGCATAGCTGTAATCCAGTACACTAAGGTCATTACTTCAGCTGCGACTTAACTTGGTAATGGAGATAGGATAAACAAGAAAGGAAAGAACCGTACTTTTCCTTGAATATCTCAGAAAATAATACTGTATATTATTTTTGATTCAGAGACAGCTATGTAACTACTTTTTAAAAAAAAATATTTTCTTTTCCTGAAAAAAAAATAATGGTGTGAAAAGCAGCCATTAATGAAACAGACCGGTTTCTCCTGGGCTGAAAAAGATACGATGAGGCCAAGATTTTTCAGCTGATGAACCCGCTTCTGTAATCTGTTTTGGATAACATTGTTATAACAGCATCAAAAGCATGCCTATGTGAAAGATATTAATGATTTCTTCTGAAGCAAAACATGAAGAACAACTATCTGGAAAGAATGTAATTGATCATCTATTATGGGGAATTAAAGGCAGTGGTGGGGGTGTTACAAACTTTTCATTACATTAAAATGAAAACCGGCCATTATGGGATGAGAGGGATTGAACTTTGTACTGAAAACATCATGCATTCATCTATTTATTTAAACCGTGCTTCCTAGATGACTCAGCCCTTTGTTAGGGTTGTCTAAGCCTATTACCTCCTTTTCCAGTTGCCTTTTTTTTTTTGAGAAATTTCAACTGACTGAGCCGTATTTTTTATTTGATCTCTACCTCACCCTGGATTTTAAAGTTAAATGTGATTTTAAGAAGTTCAGACATAATTGAAAGGAATGCTAGGACCAGGAGGCAGATTCCTCAGTACCTGATGCATTTTCCACTATAAAGCACTTGTGGTAAGCCTCCTGTTTGGTGGAGGTATATGAGACTTGGCAAGAAATTTGGTTCTAGGTTCACTAGGCTTCTGCTATTTCCTCGGGCGACACCTACCTGTATTAGAAACCCCAGAAACTCACAAGATATACAGGTTTTCCTGCAATTGCTCAATGCAGATGAAAATGACAGCAGCCTTAAGGCTACCCAGCATTTATGCTGAAAGACTGGACCTGCCTACAGACATCCAGCAACCCATAAAAATGCGAGACTGAGATTGCTGTTCCACATAAAAATGGCTCTGTGTGTCATTCCCAGTGCTCTGTTCCACATCACACATTCAGGTATGTCCTTCATGGCTATGGGATGTATCAATCCATCGCGGTCCTACACAAGGACTGCAAGACAAATTGGCTATTTGGCTGTTACGGTGACGGAGGACATTCTCCTGCTTCTGTATTGGATGACAAGGATAAATCTTTAACCGTGTGTAAGTACACTTCACCAGCTGCCAGCAGAGTAAGAGTACATTAGAAAAACAACTTGATAAGCATATTGATTAATGAGCACTTGGAACGGTTCAGTTAAAGACTTAATTCAGATTTGTTGTAATTCTGATTACTATGTGCTCATAAATGCTCTCATAATCCATAGCTATAACCAAACTATTAGAAACACTGGGAATTAGCATAGTGAGACTGCAAATGAGCCTCTGGATCATGCTGACAACATGCTATGCACTAGTCGTATTTTTTTTTCCTTTTTAAAACAATGATCATTGTGGGATTAAATGGGTCAAAATGATGAAGCAGCACAGGTTTGAAAGAATTTGCATTTCCCATGTCACACCAAATGGCTGG